ACACGGGAACTACACTATCAATTCCTTTTCCACGTGTTTCATGAGGCAATCAATCAATTAACCAACCAACCAATCAATCAATCATGTTTCAGAGGGGAAAGACTGTTAATAATTGTTTTTAAAACAATTGATTTATATTTTTTTTTTTTTTTTTCTTCCGCCTAAATTTTGTTCTTGTGGGGTATTGTCATTTCACAAGATGTCGCTTACATTTTACGCATATGATATCAAACAGTTTGTACGCTTTTCAAACTGACACCATTGAACCAAAGACTTTACCTTGTAAGAGTTATCTCCCCAAACACTGTTTTTCCACTACTCCTTCGCAACTGTAAAAGATTACGACAAATTTATTTTACCAAATTGCTTGTTACGTCTTCAGGATTAGGGTGACCATTTGGACCAAAGCTATCCGGAGACTCCATATGAGAGTTATTCCCCCTTATGCATTTGATATAAGTGATATGCATTTCTAACTGGTAAACCATTAGTGATATAGGCCTAGGATCTTTTGATTTGAGGTCCTTGGTCCAAAAAAAAGAAAATTAGGTCAAGGTCATATTCTAAATTTTGATTTTGGCTTATATTAACTTATTTTCTTTAACCGTACAAGATATTGACTGCATATTCTTATCAAATTGTCATTTGCGACATGTCGTAACTTAAAAATTTTGGTTGAAAGGGTGCGTAGACAATAAATGGGAGTTTTTGCACCTCTTATATTTAAACTTATGTGTAAAGTGATATAACTCATAAACCATACATATTAAAGACCTAGGGTCTTTTGATTGAAGGCCCTTGGTTTATGACCTTGAAATTGAGGTCAAGGTCATAGGTTAATTGGACGTTCTAGATTTTGACCTTTGCTTCAAATTCATATTTATACACGATAAAGCCATAGGACTCTGTGCTTAAGGTTACAAACCAAACGACTTAGAAAAAGCAAACTGGAAGTGACCTTTTGTAAACTGGAAGTATCTATTTTTTGGACTTACTTCATACAAAAGTGTGTAGAAACAATATATTTTTGGAATCAGCATACAATAGGCTATCATTTGACATAGGAAATGACTTTCTCAACTGATTTTGAATATTTTGTATCAAAATAATTCTTTAGAAGTGGAAAGACCTTCAATTGTTCTCTGAACAATTGGTTTTTAATTTTTTTTTTTTTTCTTCCGCCAAATTTTGTTCTTGCGATAAATATTTGTTTCGCAATATGTCGCTTTGATATTTCTTACATTGTATCCTACAGTGTATATATATACGCTTATAAATTTCACCCTGCTAAGCCGAACAATTATCTTTGTAAGAGTTATCTCCCTATTCACTGTTTATCAAGTGTGTGCATCTCCTTCGTAACAAAAAAAGATATCAACAAAATTCTTTTTCTAAATTGTTCGTTACATCCTCAGGAATTTTTGGCTAATTTGGATCGAAGCGATTCGATGAAATTTTATAGGAGTTATCTACCTTTACCAAAAAAATTTGTCGGTATGTTTTTTTAACTCATAAACCTTTAACCGTATAACCCTGGAATCTTTTTATTTGAGGCCCGTAGGTCCTAACTTAGAAAATGAGATCAAGGTCAAAGGTCAAGGTCAAGTTCTCAATTTTGACTTTTCCTTGTTTTTTTGCATTTTCTCCAACACTTTTAAAGATATATATGAAAGAACAAGTGCAAAATGTTTGCTTTATTGTAATGAAGATATGTTACATTTGGTTTGAAACAATCTAATGGCATCTTATAGGAGTGAGTGCCCCTGAAATGTCTAATTATAAGGTTTATTGATTATTACTTCAACTTGGTTCATTATAAAGCCATATGACCTTTAACAAAAGGTTTGGTGACAAATGACCTTGAAAAATTCAACCGGAAGTGACCTTGAAAAAACCAGAAGTAGCCTTTTTTGCACTTTTTTCATGGAAAAGTACTCAGAATCCATATATTTTGTAATATAAATACATAAACTTATCACTAAAGACCAGAAGTGACTTTCGATAAACCGGAAGTGGCCAATTATCTCCTGTTTTACATGCAAAAGTATATAGAAACTATATATTTTTGGAATCAGTGTAAAAGAAGCTATCAAATGAGACCGGAAGTGATGTTTACTTCACCGGAAAAGATCGCCACCCCTAAACCATATATATTCTTGTATGGGACAATAAAACACATCAATGAAATATAGGGGAAGTCCATGGGGGTCACCCCCATCCCTCATGTTTGAAAACTTGTAAATGGTCGAGATCCCCATCCCTAAACCATATATATTCTTGCATGGGACTACAAAACAAATCAAACGAAATGTAGGTGAAGTCCCAGGGGTCTCCCCACACCCTCCTGTTTGAAAACTTGTAAACGGTCGATATCCCTACCCCTAAACCATATATATTCTTGTATGGGACAATAAAACAAATCAAATGAAATATGGGATCATGGGAATTGCGAATTATGGGAACTTTGTTTGGTAGACTTCGTAACAGCATCCTGTTACAGTTACTTCTTGTTATTACTTACATCCACGTCATATGAACTTTGGTGGATGTGTGTCTTATTGGCAATCATACCTCATCATTAAGAAGAAGATGTTCTGACTATACAAGGTATCAACAGTCTTTTATAAGCACTTACAATAGCTGTTTGAATCATAATTAGGTCTTTCCACTTTTCTGTGGAAAGACCTATTGTTTTTGTTCTGATTATTATTTTTTTTTTTTTTTTTTTTTCCGCCAAATTTTGTTCTTGCGATAGATATTTGTTTCGCAATATGCCGCTTAGATATTTCTTACATTGTATCGTACCAGTGATATTGTTTGCCTCAAATAACATCCGAAATTCGGGTTTTTCCCCTAGAGAAAATTCCCAATTACTAAAAAAAATGGCTTAAAATTCCTCCAAATAAGTTTTACATTTTTCCCAAAAGTGATGGCAATGATAGTAATGAATGTAAATTTCGTATTGATGTTATTGTTTTGATATTATGAAAGCACTTTTGAGATCCAGGTTTCTGATCAGAATCATCACGGTATTTGTAACACATGTGGTTTTCAATACATTAAGTACCCATCATCATTGTTTCCCCTCCCCAAAAAGTACCTTTCAGGTTGAAAATGTCTGACAGTCTGAATATACGTGATAAAACTGTGCAAAAAAGACAGTCAAGTTTAGCAGAAATTGGAGATGGGTTTAAATAAAAAATAAACCAATTTCCCAATTTCAATAAAAATTATGCATTTTTCCCCAAAAAAAACGGTAGAGGTAGTTTTGAAAAAAGACAACAATATCACTGCGTACAGTGTATGCGCTTTTAAATTTCACCCTGCTCAGCCGAACAATTTTCTTTGTAAGAGTTATCTCCCTATTCACTGTTTATCAAGTGTGTGCATCTCCTTTGTAACAAAAAAAGTTATCGACAAAATTCTTTTTCTAAATTGTTCGTTACATCCTAAGGAATTTTTGGCTAATTTGGATTGAAGCGATTCGGTGAAATTTTATAGGAGTTATCTACCTTTACCAAATAAATTTGTTGGTATGTATTTTTAACTCATAAACCGTTAACCGTATAACCCTAGAATATTTTTATTTGAGACCCCTAGGTCCTAACTTAGAAAATGAAGTCAAGGTCAAGGTCAAGTTCTCAATTTTGATATTTCCTTGTTTTTGCATTTTCTCCAACACTTTTAAATATATCTATAAAAGAACAAGTGAAAAATGTTTGCTTAATTGTAATGAAGATATGTTAAATTTGGTCTGAAACAATCTAATGGCATCAAATAGGAGTTAGTGCCCCTGAAATGTCCAATTATAAGGTTAATTGATTATTACTTCAACATGGTTCATTATAAAGCCATATGACCTTTTACAAAAGGTTGGGTGACATATGACCTTGAAAAATGACAACCGGAAGTGACCTTGAGAAAACCGGAAGTAGCCATTTTTGCACTTTTTTCATGGAAAAGTACTAGAAATCCATATATTTTTTGAATGGGCATACATTAACCTATCATTTGAGACCGGAAGTGACATTTTACAAACCGGAAGTAGCATATTATCTCCCTTATTACAGGCATAAGTATATACAAACTATATATTTTTGGAATCAGTGTGAATGAAGCTATCATATGAGACCGGAAGTGACATTTTCTTAACCGGAAGTAGCCAATTATCTCCCTTTTTACAGGCAAAAGTATATATAAACCATATATTTTTGGAATCAGTGTAAATAAAGCTGTCATATGAGACCAGAATTACATTTTCTAAACCGGATGTTGGCAATTATCTCCCTTATTTCAGGCAAAAGTATATAGAAACCATATATTTATTGAATCAGTATGAAGAAACCTATGATTGGACGCCAATAGTAACTTTGAGTAAACCAGAAGTAGCTTCTTATCAATTATTTAGAAAATTGATGTGGAAAGACCTTCAATTGTTCTGTGAACAATTGGTTTTTAATTGTATTATTTGTTGTTTCGTTTTCATTTAAATAGAAATTAGAAATAAAAAAAGAATGATGTCCACCAGTTTTTTAACAACAACCTGTCACGTTTCAAAAACTGAATACTAAAAAGTATATTGTAGTCATACATATATATATACATTAAATGTACTTCACACACGTGATTGTTCATGTTATTCCAATTTTACCTACAGATACTCTATGTTTTAACTTAAATATAATTTACAATATATATAATAAAAGTTTAATGTTATAGCTTTGCTTACCAAATACAACAATGACTGTGTTAATTAAACAAAGTGGTAACACAGGTAACATAGGTCATGATTAAAATAAGAAGACTAAAAATAAAGTTTAAGAAGGGAAAAAATCGTCTTATATAAAAAAAATAAGAGCTTTAGCAGCTCAGTATTTATGTCTGTAGTCATTGTAAGCTGTACTCAGAATGAACTAACTGAATTTGGATGAGAATTATGTTGTGCCATTCCATGCAATGATTATTTCTTCATTTTAACATTTAGTTTGTTTTTTTTGCAGGAGGATGTGGAAACTAGACGTGCACTATTGTACAGTGAAGTAGAGGACTTGTTTAAGGACCATGAGGGACGAAATCATCTTGTTCTTGACAAACAAATATTTGTAAATGCAACTGATAAAACTGACCAAGAAATTGAAGCCCTGAAAAAAGCCATCACAGAGCTTACTTTCGACCATCCCTGTTGGGGGGAGAAGATGCCAAATGCCTGGGTTCCCCTTGAACTAGAGATGGCTGAGTTGGTTGCTGCAGGAAAGCAAATCCTGTCATTGGAAGAATGTGAAGAATTAAATGCAATCAGCAAGGTGTCAGTTCTGGATTTAGAACAACTTCATGATTTCCTTCATTTCCAGCACTCGCTGGGGAAAATTGTCTTCTTTGATACCCAGCAGCTCAGAGATTATGTCATAATCAACCCACTACTCATGGTGGAGGTTATGAGGTCCTTTGTGACAGGTATTTATGTCAATACTTATTATAAAGGTTATGAGGTCCTTTGTGACAGGTATTTATGTCAATACTTATTATGAAGGTTATGAGATCCTTTGTGACAGGTAAATATGTCAATACTTATTATGGAGGTTATGAGATCCTTTGTGACAGGTATTTATATCAATACTTATTATGGAGGTTATGAGATCCTTTGTGACAGGTATTTATGTCAATACTTATTATGGAGGTTATGAAATCCTTTGTGACAGGTATTTATGTCAATACTTATTATGGAGGTTATGAGATACTTTGTGACATGTACTTAATAATGGAAAAATTATGTAACAACCCTATTTCGCAAGATGTCATTAATTTTTACCATTGTTGTCATTTGTGACATCATAAATGTAAAAAGAGAGAAGTCCAATAAAAATTATACTTTGCATAATGCCAGCATATGTGAAATCTTTTAAATGATATATTAAATCATGAAATAGTTTTTGTTGAGATAAAACATTTCAATTTAGGCAAATAGTCCTTAAATTGTCATGTTTGCAAGTCCTTTTCTATTTCTATATTGAAATGACTTAAATGATATTCCAATAGGTCAAATGAAATTTGAAATTTCCAAAAATTGGATATTTTGATCGCTTTTTTCTCAGAATTACAATTTTTAGCCATTAGCCACATAATCCTGAATGCAATGTTTTTTTGGTCGTAGAATTGCAGCTTAGCATGGTTTGACATAACGGCTGTCTTATTTGAGGGTCAAGTAAAAAACAGGTTATTTGGTAGTTTGTTCTATTGCTGTCAAATTTAAAGATTAATTTTATAGATATCAATCTGAATTTAGTCCAAACTGATAATTTTAGCCTTTTGTACCTATTAATTTAATCCTTTTAGTTCACAGCAATACACCAAACTACCAAACAACCTGGCATCCTGTAAGATCAATATATAATTGAGATAGCTGTAGATTTTGATGAAAATTCAAGTTGATTTGCACAGTTATAGAAATGTTTATAGGTGACTATCTGAATTTAGTACGAACTGAAAATTCCAGCTTTTTTTACCTACAAATTAAATCATAGAATTTGACAGAAATACACCAAACTACCAAACAACCTGGCATTCTGTAAGATCAATATATAATTGAGATAGCTGTATAGTTTTATGAAAATTATACTTAAATCCTTAAATTTGACGGCAATACACCAAACTACCAAATATCCTGGAATTTTGTACGGTCAATATATAATTGACATAAGTGGGCTGATTCAGACCAGTCTAGACTAAATTTAAAGGTCAAGACTGGTCGAGACCATATTCAGACTTTACCAAAATTATCAAATATTTAATAAGACTTATTAAGTCAAGTCGAGACCGAAGTCGAGTACAGTTAAGTACAGTTAAGTACTGTCGAGATTATGTCGAGTCTTGTCAAATAAAATCTGTCAAACCCTGCTTAGTATTGTATTTCAATCCAAATGACTCACGAACAAACTATTTCGTTATTTGACAATTTTTCATCAAAGCTATCAACAATTTAAATAAAAAGATTTAAACTGTAAAGAAAGATATTTCCAAAGTTGAACATTATATATACAATTATCATACCTGTCAACTGACCTCTATTTTGCGGGTCACACCCGTTAATTCCCCTCCGACCTTGGATTTTTGAATACCCGACGTGTGATGAACTAACCCCGGAATTCAGAAAATAACCTGTTTTCATCCATATTTCTGACCATTATTGTATCCGGTATTCACCTTTCTCTTTCTCAGGTAAAGTAATCAATGAGTGATGGATTTCTCTTAGATGAAATTTAAAGGTCCCAGTAAACAAACTACACAGAGAAAAAAAGCTATTGCATTTATTCAATGGGAAAATAAAACTGACAAAAGTTTAATTGGATTGACCAATAGGAGATGAATTTGTGGAAATTTAACATTTGGTTTGCAATAATTAATGATAAATATTTATATAATGAACAAATACAATAGTGAATAATTGTAGGAAATTATTGGTATATGTTAGAGTATATAATTTTTATTATAAAAAAAATCTAAATACAAAAATTCAACTGAAAACAGTTTGTACGTGTTATAAATGACCTGACATTTTCTACCTCAATGCAGGTCATGACCTGCTTTTTCAGTTTTAGTGGTTGCCAAGCATTTCTATCCTGTTTTGAGCCAAGTACAAAAAAATGATACTTCAAGACAGATTTGGTTATCACTGATAAACTATAACTCTTACAACTGCTTCAAATGAAATATTTTGGTTAAAAACCATCATTTTTTCATTTGAAGTGGACGACTTACAAATTCTGTGAACCTGTATTCTGTATTGCCGTCATAAATAAAACTCAAGGGAAACACATTATCAACGTCATAGACAAGGCGATATATGGTCAACGACTGTATATCACAAATGAATATACAATCAATGCAATTTGACTGTCTAAATAGCACATTTGCAGTATATAAATCAGTTATTTAATAGTTCATGTGCTTGAATTACTATTGTGGATGATACAGGTATTATTATGTATTATTTGTAAGTCCAGTAGAATTATGTATCACTTGAAACAATCAGTAATGAAAATGGAAAAAATAATTCATGTTAATATCCCCAGAAAGTATTTTACCTCTGTCTATTATTTTTTTCAGACAAATTATTTTGGCCAAAGAAAAGAAGAATGCAGGAAATTTTCAGAAGAATGTCAGATAGTGGAATAATATGCAGAGGAGACCTGTACAATATTTGGGAACAAAAGAACTTTCGGGCAATTCTACCATACAAAGAGTTTATATTCAACATCCTCATTCATTTAGACATTCTGGCAGAGCAACGTAGATATGATACAGCTACAGGAAGTAGGTTACCAGTAGAGAACTTCTTTGTTCCCTGTATGGTCACAGAAAGAAATGCTACCAGCTTCATGGAGAACGAGTGTACACCAGTGAGAGCTATATGTTTGTCATTTGTTTTTAAAGGCACTGTTATACCACCAGCTTTGCCCAATCGTCTGATCAGTGCATGTCTGAGCATGTGGACTTTGAAGCAGTATGAAGGGAGAAAACTCCTCTTTTCAGGATTTATTGTAGTATCCTTTGACAAGGCACATGATATTGTAGTATGTGTTGAAGGCAACAAGATTATTCTTTATATAGTCCATAAAACCTCCGCTGGACTTATAGTACCAGATATAGCGACTGCAGTTAAAGAATGCTTGGTTACAACAATGGAGAGAATTTCTGATTTCTATCAGTCCACCATACATGTAAACCGCAGCCAAAAATTACCTTTCCATATTGAATATTCATGTTCTGAGTTGAAATGCTTCATCAGTGAAGAAGAAGCTTTGCAGACCAATGAATGGGTTTGTGACGAGCATAACCATACACATAGAGCAGGAAACTCAGCTGTTTGGAACCAAGAAAAGGTATATATATTATTACAGTAAATAAGCAAATTATGTAGATAATAAATTCTAAGGAAAAGTAACAATAAGTTAAAAACTATATCAGGATATAGTCCAATTTTAAACTCCTTTTTATACGACCGCAAAAAATTTTACGGTCGTTTATTGGTATCACGTCGTCCTCGTCCTTATCCAGAGACATTTGGTTTCCAGACAATAACTTTAGTATAAGTTTATAGAAATCTATAAAATTTAAACACAAGGTTTATAACCACATAAGGAAGGTTGGGATTGATGTTGGGGATTATGGTCGTAACAGTTTAGGAATTAGGGGCCAAAAAAGGGCCCAAATAAGCATTTTTCTAGTTTCCAGACAATAACTGGTGGAAGGGTGTATGAATCTCTCTGAAATTATACCACACATTTCCATACCACAAAGGGATGGTTAGGATTGACTTGGAGGGGTTATGGCTCAAACCGTTTAGGAATTTGGGGCAGAAAAGGGGGAAAAACCAGGGTTTCCTAGTTAATGGACAATTTAAAAGCAGTGTAAGGGAGGTAATCTAAACACATTTAAAGTACAATGTTGTGTATGTTTGGATTTACCTCCCTTACACTTCTTTTAAATTATCTATAAAGAAATGTTGTATTGTCTTGAGGTGATGAGCTGTCAATTTATTTTTAGAAGTTATTATTAAAGGAATATTAATTTTAGCCATGATTATATGTCATTTTCTTTTTTAAGACTTTTATGATGTATTTAAATTGGTAATTATGGTTGCAAACTCCATTGGAAATTTGAATTGAGATTATGACCATATCTTGAGGGAAAGAATTTTTTTTTTTTTGGAAAAAGGGGTGGGGGTGAAATTTTTTTTTTTTGGAGGGGGGGGGGCAATCTTTTCTCATTTCAGATTTCAGAAATTAAAAAAAAAAAAAAAATTTTGAGGGGGGGGGGGGGGGTCAATATGCAACAGCATAGTGTATTGCACAAAAGCAAAAAAAAAGGGGGGTAATTTTTTTTTTGGAAGGGGGTGTCAATTCGCAACAGCATCGTGTATTGCACAAAAGCAAAAAATTGAATATAAATTCAAATCATATTCCCAATTCTAAGTTCTTTGACTACAGTTATTCTGTGTCAGAAACCTATTATGTGTCAAATATTCAATTACAATCCAAATTCAGACCTGTATCAAGCGCAAATATTGGGTCCAGTTTTTCCCCAACTGTTCAGGGTTGGACCTCTGCGGTCGTATTCAGCTGCGCTCAGCGAAGCATTTTATTTTAGGAAGTTTACACAATAATGAATCGAATTAAAGAGTTATTAGATTAAAGGCATTTTTATCATGTGCAAGCAATGTTGAACTGAAATACAATTTTTCCTCCTTTAAATGTTCCAAGATCAGGCAAAAGTGTATTTTTGCTTGATTTCATATTGTAAATTGATTTATTTCAATTGAGTATTCCTCGAAAGGCAATATTTATCAATGAATCCCTTCACTCAAAAAAATGCTGCTAATAGTTATAAAACAGAGTGTATTTCTGGACGCAGTGATACAGTGAAGTCATTTTAGCTCACCTGGCCCAAAGGGCCAAGTGAGCTATTCTCATCACTTGGCGTCTGTCGTCTTCCATCGTCATCGTTAACTTCTTCTAGAGAACCACTGATTGGAATGGAACCAAAGATGGCATGAATGTTCCTTATGAGGTGCTGACCAAGTGTTGTTACTTTGAAGCCGATCCATAATCCAAGATTGCCGCCAGCGGGGGACTTAGTTTAACATAGGATCCTATTGGAAATATATACAAATGTCTTCTTTTAAAGAACCACGAAATGGAATGAAACTAAACATGGCATGAATGTTTCTTATGAGGTGCTGACCAAGTGTTGTTACTTTGAAGCCGATCCATCATCCAAGATGGCCGCCAGCGGGGAACTTAGTTTAACATAGGACCCTACGGTAAATACATACAAATGTCTTCATTTAGAGAACCACTGATTGGAATGCAACCAAACATTGCATGAATGTTCTTTATGAGGTGCCGACCAAGTGTTGTTACTTTGAATCCAATCCATCATCCAAGATGGCTGCCAGTGAGGAACTTAGTTTAACATAGGACCCTAAGGGAAATACATACAAATGTCTTCTTTTAGAGAACCACAAAATGGAATGAAACCAAACATGGCATGAATGTTCCTTGTGAGGTTCTGACCTAGTGTTGTTACTTTGAAGCCGATCCATCATCCAAGATGGCCGCCAGCAGGGGACTTAGTTTAACATAGGACCCTAAGGGAAATACATACAAATGTCTTCTTTTAGAGAACCACTGAATGGAATGGAACCAAACATGGCATGAATGTTCCTTATGAGGTGCTGACCAAGTGTTGTGGCTTTGAAGCCGATCCATTATCCAAGATGGCTGCCAGCGGGGGACTTCGTTTAACATAGCACCCTATTGACAATACATTCAAATGTCTTCTTTTAGAGAACCACTGAATGGAATGGAACCAAACATGGCATGAATGTTCCTTATGAGGTGCTGACCAAGTGTTGTTACTTTGAAGCTGCTCAATCATCCAAGATGGCCGCCAGCTGGGGACTTAGTTTAACATAGGACCCTAAGGGAAATACATACAAATGTCTTCTTTTAGAGAACCACTGAATGGAATGAAACCAAACATAGCATTAATGTTCTTTATGAGGTGCTGATGAAGTGTTGCTACTTTTTTTGCCGATTTACTGTTCAAAATGACAACCAGGATTTTTTATTAAATTACGGGGCAATTATTAAACCAAATTTGGCCTCAATCATTATTTGGGTATCTGTTATGATTTTTTTCTGTTTTACATGATTTCCAAAACCAAAGTAGAGTCAGGTGAGCGACACAGGCTATTGAGAGCCTCTAGTTCTGTATTATAGATGAAATCAGTCTTTAGAGTTTCAACCCTTGATTTTCAGCCAAATATTGACTGTATTCCCAATGCCAAACTTTTTTCCAAATATTTACCCAATTTTCCTGTTGATAATCTTTCCATAGCCTCAAAAATACAACCTACCACATCATCTGTAAAGGGTGATGAGCTCACTGATTTGGCACTGCAGCACTAAAGCAAATTAATATTTACATCAATTATTCAAGTAGGAAAGATGATGTAATAGATGCAGCATTGGATTCAAAAATATTGTTTAATCCTTCCTTATAATCTGTACAGTGACATCTACTATTATCACACCGCAGGTAAATTATCACCTTGTGATTGGTTTAACACCGTCACATGGTGACACCCTATGGATCCGTAGGGGGTTAGTAAATTTCATAGGGGGGTTCATGATGTCATGTCTACTTTTAATGGTGACGTCATTTATTAATGTTGTTGTGTTTCATTGTTTATTTTTCTACAAAACGCAGCAGAAAAAGTCCCCTGTGCGAAAAATTTGTTATACTTTGCACAATGCCTTTGGCCTCAACCCCTATGGATTTTACTAACCCTCTATGGATCTGTAGGGGGTCAGTAGCGAACCATATAACTTATATTGGTAGGTCTTACCAGGGACATATAAGATCTTGCTCAGGTATGTGAGAGTCTAGTAATAGAGAGAAAAAAATATTCTGGTTACATCTGTTTTTATTTAGACAATTTGGCCAACTGGCTTATGGTCATGATGGTGGAAAACCATTAAAATTACTAGTACAAACTATCAAAGACAACATTCTGATTGATTTTTTACTGTTTTAAACGAATCAGCTTCATGACCCCAACTCCAACTTCCCAAAAAACAAATTGTGGGGATGCATGAATTACTATACACATTAACAATGTATATATGTGTGTATAATTTACTGCAGTTCAACAGTGAGTCTTCATCTGTAGTAACAGAGATTACAGCATTTGATCTTTTAGAATCTACACCAATGTCTGGAAAATTGCTTTCCAAGAATGTTCATTTTAACACCTTTTAATATTAATCCCTTCATCAGCAGCTATTATGACTAAATACTTTACTATAATATGATCTTTATAAAAATAATGATAAATTTTAATGGAACCTTGAGAATAACCAATCTGCTTATTATTGGTCTCTTTAGCATGTTAACTTTCAAAATTCAATGGTTAGGGCCTTAACTTAATAGGGAAAGCAATATCTGCATATAGGGTCTACATGAACTTGTATAAAGTAAAAAAATATATTAGAACGTTTGGATTTGGTGTTTTAGGCTGAGTGCTAATGTTTTCTTTAAGCTAAGAGTCACTAAAATATTTAAGTGTTGAATGAATTATACACTAGTTAACTTTTAACGCTATAGTACTTTGTAATCTATACAGTGTAATAAATATATGATTTTCACACACTTGCCATGTTCATACTCACATTTGTTTTAATTTACAGTTTGTAGTGTCAAATGCGCAACATTTCCAGTTGTTTTTCTTTGGTTATTTGTTCTTATTCTTAACACTCGATCAGGAAGTGTTTCAGAACCATTTCCTAAACGCCTTTAAACAAAGAAAAATAACCCATGATATATTTTGTGGCAACAAAGACTGGCTCTAATGTCCATTTTGATTTTATCTTCATGCTCAAGCTTTACATTATAGACCCCGGGATTGTTGGTCCTTGGCTCCTTTGATCAGGCTTAGAACTTAGCTTAAACACTATAGGACTTCTGACTCCATTAATAGAAAGTAAGTTCAGAGGTAGCGGGATCCGATTCCAAAGAAGTTGGTGCAGCTGATATAACGTTATGACCCCAAATCGTTGCAATTTTTAACAACAACATTTAACTTGAAACATTTTGTTTGTGAATTTCCGTGGCGAAAAAAGGTATACTTATTATACATAAATATGGATTGCAATACTTATTTATGGTGATATATGACATTAATTTGTGGAATGCAACATATTAAAATGACATAAACATGATAAGCATGTAAATCCTAAGGAATTTACCATGCTACTTAGTCTGAGACAATAAAGAAATACTGGAAATTTCTAAATTATTATAAATTATGAATGAAACCTGATTTTGACACCACTTTTGTTTTAATGATCAAGTGTCAGTAAATCATTGTATTTCATATTTTATAGAGGAAAAAGTGTATTCACATTTCTGTTATTTTATTACCGAAGATAATTGGTAAGAAATTATTTCTTGATTTGTGACAAACGATCTATATCCTGTACTTGTTCAAAAAGGGTGAACACTTGCACACACGCGTTTTGCTTAGCAAGTATACTGCCAATGCCTTTTTCAGGGCTTTCACACTTTGATTATTAACATGCATTAATCACACAATGACTAAGTTTTTATATCGCCTGTGATGAAAGTTGTAGATAGCAAGACATAGGGATTGCTTTGTAATGATGACGACGGCTCTGGCATCAACAATTGTTAAGTTTTCTGCTTAAGTTAGTTTGATAGGAACTACTTCTGATAGATCATTGATATAAAATATAAAGTTGCATTACTATCAGTACATATCAGTTTGAGGACTATTTTGAGGCCCTGTCTCCTAGGTCATGGTCGAGTGACAGAATGAATAAACCATGTTGCTGTCCATCAGACATGTATCATCAAAAAGGGTGAAAACTTGCACACACGCGTTTTGCTTAGCAAGTATACTGTCAATGCCTTTTTCAGGGCTTTCACACTTTGATTATTAACATGCATTAATCACACAATGACTAAGTTTTTATATCGCTTGCGATGAAAGTTGTGGATAGCAAGACATAGGGATTGCTTTGTAATGATGACGACGGCTCTGGCATCAACAATTGTTAAGTTTTCTGCTTAAGTTAGTTTGATAGGAACTACTTCTGATAGATCATTGATATTAAATATAAAGTTGCATTACTATCAGTATATATCAGTTTGAGGACTATTTTGAGGCCCTGTCTCCTAGGTCATGGTCGAGTGACAGAATGAATAAACCATGTTGCTGTCCATCAGACATGTATCAGATTGTCTTTTTCGGAATTTTATGTTGATAGTCGAGACATATTTCTGTGTCAACAGTTTATTGTTCATGTTGTTAGCTCACCGGGGCCCGAAAGGCCCCATGTGAGCTTATGCCATCACTTGGCGTCCGTCGTCTGTCATCGTCGTCTGTCTTCGTAAACTATTTCAAAAATCTTCTCCTCTGAAACTACTGGGCCAAATACCTTCAAACTTTATCTAAATGTTCCTTAGGGTATCTAGTTTATAAATTGTATCCGAAGTTTTGATCCATCAACAAACATGGCCACCATGGCTAAAAATAGAACATAGGGGTCAAATGCAGTTTTTGGCCTATATCTCAAAAACTAAAGCTTTTAGAGCAAATCTGACAGGGGTAAAATTGTTCAATTGGTCAAGATCTATCAGCTCTGAAATTTTCAGACGAATCGAACAACCCATTGTTGGGTTGCTGCCACTGAATTGGTAGTTTTAACAAAATTTTGCAGTTTTTTGTTATTAGTTTGAATATTATTATAGATATATATAAACTGTAAGCAGCAATAATGTTCAGCAAAGTAAGATCTACAAAAAAGTTAATATGACCATAATTGTCAATTGACACCTTAAGGAGTTATTGCCCTTTAAAGACAATTTTACACAATTTGTTCAAGTTTGCTAACATTTAAAAATCTTCTCCTCTGAAACTACTGGGCCAATTACCTTCAAACTTTAACTAAATCTTCCTTAGGGTATCTTGTTTATAAATTGTATCTGAAGTTTGTATCCATCGACAAACATGGCCGCCATGGCTAAAAATAGAACATAAGGGTCAAATGCAGTTTTTGGCTTATATCTCAAAAACTAAATATTTTATAGCAAATGTGACATGGGGGTAAAATTGTTGAATTGGTCAAGATCTATCGGCCCTGAAATTTTCAGACGAATCGAACAACCTATTGTTGGGTTGCTGCCACTGAATTGGTAGTTTTAACAAAATTTTGCAGTTTTTTGTTATTATTTTGAATATTATAGATATATATAAACTGTAAGCAGCAATAATGTTCAGCAAAGTAAGATCTACAAAAAATTTAATATGACCATAATTGTCAATTGACACCTTAAGGAGTTATTGCCCTTTAAAGACAATTTTACACAATTTGTTCATCAAGTTTGCTAACATTTAAAAATCTTCTCCTCTAAAACTACTGGGCCAATTACCTTCAAACTTTAAATAAATGTTCCTTAGGGTATCTTGTTTATAAATTGTATCCGAAGTTTGTATCCATCGACAAACATGGCCGCCATGGCTAAAAATAGAACATAAGGGTCAAATGCAGTTTTTGGCTTATATCTCAAAAACTAAATCTTTTAGAGCAAATGTGACATTGGGGTAAAATTGTTTTATTTTTTTGAATATTATTATAGATATATATATATAAACAGTAAGCAGCAATAATGTTCAGCAAAGTAAGATCTACAAAAAAGTTAATATGACCAAAATTGTCAATTGACCCCTTAAGGAGTTATTGCCCTTTAAAGACAAGTTTACACAATTTGTTCATTAAGTTTGCCAACATTTAAAAATCTTTTCCTCTGAAATACAGGTGAGCGATTCAGGCTCTTGAGAGCCTCTTGTTACTGTTACACAAACAGAAACTAAACATGAAATGAGTATTATGTGTTGTAGCGTAAATGTGGTGATTGAGGACAATTTTGGATGTTCTATTTTATGTATTTCGGCCCTGTTTTTGCTAAATCTTAAGTTGTCCTGTATAGTGATCTATGTTTTGCTGTTTTGCTTAACTTTGCTTTAGCTTATGATTTTAATTTCACCTTGTATCTTGAGAACTTATACATGTAACTTTATCATTTTTGTCAATAATAATTTGGATATATTTTATTTCTACAGAAGAAAGAACAGTGTGAGCAGAATTGTCAAGGTAAGATATCTTGCTGTATAGACATTATAATTCATCGAAAAGAAGTATAACAAAAATACCAAACTCCAAGGCAATTTCAAAAAGTGGAAGTCCATAAAAACTGACAAAACAAATGCTATCAATCAACGAAACAAGTTAGTTATGGTGATAATGATTTGTTGAAAGAAACATACAATTAATACAATCTATATGTTATCCTATATTCACAGTGACTTCATATAGTTAATACAATCTATATGTTATCCTATATTCACAGTGACTTCATACAGTTAACACAATCTATATGTTATCCTATATTCACAGTGACTTCATATAGTTAATACAATCTATATGTTATCCTATATTCACAGTGACTTCATATAGTTAATACAATCTATATGTTATCCTATATTCACAGTGATTTCATATAGTTAATACAATCTATATGTTGTCCTATATTCACAGTGACTTCATACAGTTAATACAATCTATATGTTATCCTATATTCACAGTGACTTATTATTACCATATGGTATGTCAAAACATTTTTATCAAAACATCACAAATGATTTTCAGCACACTCAATTCTTCAATTTTGAAAACGTTTCAGCTATTGTAAAGAATTATATATAAATATAGATAAACAGACAGAGATCTACAAAACACCATAACAGGTTTGATAATTAACTTCATAAAGCATTTTATATGTTAGGCTGATTTGTACTTCCTCGTCATTTGTTATATGGAGCAGACTGAACATAGTAAACGGGTCCTTTATATATTTTGCAAGTTTGGCAATAGTTTGGGTATGTTCAATAAGGATGTTGGAATCGTGGGAAGGTAGTTTCTGGATTTAACTTGTTATTCAGATGAAATATTATCACAATGTTTATTTGCAGGGTTAAATGAGGATGTGTTTTTGTTAGGTAGATGATATTTTTATGACAATGTTTATTTGCAGGTTGCTTTTTGTTTGGCAGATGAAATGTTTATTACAATGTGTAATTTCAGGTTTAAGTGATGATGCTTTAAACCAAAGACCAAGTGATATTGAACTCTTACGTTTTTCCATAAAATGTTCATCAAATCAAATGTATAAATTAGTTACATATCTCGAAATGTCTGAGAAATGGGATGATATTCAACACAATTATCAAAACAATGTAGAGGTAGCAAAGTTTTTGGTTCTATCTAAATGGAAAGAGATGAAAGAAGAGAGCAATTTCAAAGCCTTGGCAGAGGCTCTGAAAAACATGGATATATCAACACATGTCTTGTGTCAAGTAAGTTTAAATACTTTGTAAAGATTGTAAACCTTTGAATGTTTCATTAACTTGTCTTTTATCCAATATTGAAACATTTTATGCTTGATATGTACACTTGTTTGTCCTGAAACCTTATGTCCTCTAAGATGTCTCTGTTGTGTTTTTTATGTGTCTTTGGTTTGCAAGTCTTATTAAGAATAGAAAAGAAAACATCATTTAGCCAAAAAGGCCATGTGAGCTTTTGCTTTCACTTGGTGTCTGCTGCCATTGTTTGTCCATTATCATAAAATTCAAAAAAAATTCTCCAGTAAAACTAATAGGCCTTATGTTGCCAAATAATAATTGCCTGTTTCTTAGGTTATCTAGTTTAAAATTGTTATCTAGGGATTTGATCCATCAGCAAATATGGCCACTGTTGCTGAAATAAAGTGATAAAATGCATTTTGTGCTTATATCTCAAAAAAGTAATGCAGTTGATAAACATGATAAACAGGTCAAGAGTCATCTTCTACAGAACTTTCAGAAAAATCGGGCAATTCATTTTGAATTTAATGCCCCTGAAATGTCTTTTTTTTGTAAATGTTTTGGCTGAAATCTTACAAACATAAGCAATAAAAGCAGATCAAAGTCTATCTCCTTTTTTTCAGAAAAATCTTGACAAATCATTTGTGATTTATTGTCCCTGAAATATATATATTTTGCATTTTATGCAGTTTTTGTCATTATCTTGAAAACTATAACTGATAGAGAGAAATTTGTAACATTGAAAATGACCAAAACAATTTCAAATCTACAAATAACACCCTATGGGACTTACTTCCTTTTATAATCGATGATCTTTACTCTTTTAGCTTTTCTTGAGGAAACTATAGTTGATAAAGAGAATCCTTTGATAGTAAAAATGTTTAACAAGATATGATCTGCAATTGAGTTAATATGGGCAAATTGTCAGTTGATCCTTTATAAGAGTTATTGCCCTTGAAAGATAGTTTTATTATTTGTCAGCTTTTTAGGAAACTGTAATAGGTAGAGAAAAATGAAGCAAGCCAATGTGATCAGCAAAATAAAATCCTGTAATTCAAACCCATCAATACCCATTGATATAACAAGGATGATATGTGAGAATTAGCTGATATGCTGCCGTTATTTGTAACTGCATATCATTACAGTGTAAGCAACAGCTTTACACATTACATTGTGATGTATGGATTATTTGTATGAAAATCTGGTTCCCAGGGCTTCGGTGGCCCAGTGGTCTAAGTAGTCAAACTACTATATCACAAGCCTGTCAACATTGAGGTTGTGAATTTGAAACCCGCATGTGGCAGGTGCTTTCGAATAATCGTAGATGACTAGGATTGTCAGTTTTTCTGTTGAAAAAGTCATGGTTCTCTCCTGGACTTATTCTCCTAGCTTCCTTCACCAATAAAAACTGTGTCTTTTAAAGTTCTATTAAAGGTAAAGACAATTACTATGGCCTTTGATTGATGCATGTTAAAAGGAGAATGAGGTATACATATGAATATAATGTATTCCACTTTAAATTCATAGATTAAATAGGTTCTTCAAATATCATTCGTTCTACCTATATCATGATCAAATTTTTAAAACACCAGGCACATATTTTGTAAAACAGGATATACAAATATGTTTTCAACTACTTCTATAAATATGAACTGTATGTTTTTTATTTTTTTATTTCATTATTTATAAATATATTTTGCAGGTAAGAAGAGTCAAAATAGCAGAGCCTGGTAAGTAATCTCGAAAAAGACGTAACACCACAGATAACAAATTAAAATCTAAACAAAACTAGATTTGCTATTGCAAGCAATAACGGAGGATGTCACCCCGTACTGGACATTGCCACAGTAGCAGCAACCATTGTAAATATATACCAAAGTCAAATGGCACCTCTATACATGCCAGAACTTCCATGTCTTTGAATCTACCCTCCCGTAAACAAAAAATGCAATAATCCCGTAAAGTTTGAGATCTATATATAATTTGGGAAATCTTTTGAATCTAAAATAAGACCCCTGTGCGAGGAAGAACATGGGGTCACGTGATGCTTAAGTATATTAGCATGGACTTAGCACATTAATAGTCTTTTTAGAGGTGACTTTGGAACAGACAACATGTGTATATATTGACGGAGCAGCATACATACTGTTCATTTTTGTCGGGCCTGCGACTTTTGTTTAAAAAAGCGAGACATAGCGATCCTACATTCGGTCGGTGGCAGCGTCGTCCTCGTTGGTGGCGTGGCGTCCACAAATATTCACTTTGTGATTAAAGTTTTTGAAATTTTAATAACTTTCTTAAAAGAGGGACGAAAGATACCAGAGGGACAGTCAAACTCATAGATCAAAAACAAACTGACAACGCCATGGCCAAAAATAAAAAGACAAACAGACAAATAATAGTACAGATGACATAACATAGAAAACCAAAGACTAAGCAACACGAACCCCACCAAAAACTGGGGGTGATCTCAGGTGCTCCGGAAGGGTAAGCAGATCCTGCTCCACATGTGGCACCCGTCGTGTTGCTTATGTTATTACAAATATGGTAAATAGTCTAATTCGGTAAGTCACATTCGTGAAAAGGGAGGGTATGGTAGTTACGACATAAGGAACATATCCGATATTATCTGTGAAACGGTTATTCCATAACGGTCAACCAACTCGTGATGGCGTCCGTAAAATTTACGAAGGGATGACTTCAACTTCACCATTTGGAACTCTTGGTTTAATAGCTTCCTTGTGAGCAGCAATCCTCTATCAAGGAAATCATGATAGGAAACACAAACTATCCTGGATATCTACCAAACTTGGACAGAAGCTTGTTTATGATCATAAGAAAGTATCTACTAGGAAATTTTGTAAAAAAAAATCCTGTTTTTCCTTATTTTACTTATAAATGGACTTAGTTTTTCTGCCAGTTAACATTACATTCACTCTGTGGTTAAAGTTTTTAAAGTTTTAATAACTTTCTTAAACTATCCTGGATTTGTACCAAACTTGGACAGAAGCTTGTTTATGATCAAAAGCTAGTATCTAGAAGGAAATTTTGTAAAAATATATTTCCTGTTTTTCCGTATATTACTTATAAATGGACTTAAGTTTTTCTTCCAGTGAACATTACATACAGTCTGTATTTAAAACATTTATTAGATTCATAAACCTTTCTGGATTTTTATTAAACTTGGACAGAAGCTTCTTACAATCAAAAGATAGTATCTATAAGGAAGTTTTTAATATTTTTTCCCCATTTTTGTTGAGCCTGTGACTAGCAGCAAAAGTAGGCGAGACACTGGGTTCCGCGGAACCCGTACAAACTTTGTTCTTTAATATGTAACGGATGGTTGATCGCGGATCACACGATACATGCATTTGATATGTATTTTATCTTGTACAATTTAATTACACGTTCATCGATTGATTTCAGCTAATGTGTATATTTTAGTAGGTGTTTGAATCCCGAATGTGTACATGAATGCAAGTGCAGAAATGTCACTAATATGTACTCTTAGTGTTTCTCCCTTTCTAGGTGGCCATTCTCTCTTCAAAGCAAGATTTTTGTATAGAATAAAAGCACGTTAAATGATATTTTTTTTTTCTTCTAGCATATTCTAGTAGATGTTAGCAGTACAGATTTGTATTTGATCGTATGCACATACTCTTGATTACAGAACTTTGCCTCAAATTTACGAGGTGTTTTATGCATTTTTTTTCGCTGTTTCCATGGCAACGGCGGCCATTTTGAAAATTTCAAAGACAGCTGACATTTCAATAACATTTAACTGGGGTTGAGCTTACAATTTGAAAGAAAATGTTACTTTGACGCTTTATCCCGTATGGGTCAATATTACACTTTAAGCCTTATCTCCATGGTTACACAGAAGCAATCTAAAAAATTCCAACGGCAATCAATTCTACAGTTCATACTATTGTTACGGCGGTGTAGGTTTGGGGGTCATATCTGTAACGGTTGATTAACTATGAATTAATTAAGGATTTATTTTCGTTTTTTCACATTTGGACTGTTTCCATCGCAATGGTAGCAATTTTGAAAGTTCTTAAGATGGATGGCACACTTTCGAATGACGAGTTATATTTCCTGAAAATTTCATTAAATTTGGACTACTTTTTGGTTTTTCACATTTTTGCCGTTTCCATGGTGACGGTGGCCATCTTGAAAATACCAAACCCTAAGTGAACATCTGCACATGGGGATTGTCATTGTGGTGCAGTTTTATCAATGTTTGTCAAATTAAGCTGGACAAAAAAATGTGGAATGTAAAATCATAGAATACCATATTTCCCGCCTTTTCCAAAGGGGTGACCTAACTAAGCATATTTGTTCACATTACTGATGGTTACAACATTATTTTCTAAAAATAAAGATAGTTTCCAATTTCGAAACAAAAACATCAGGGCCTTTTTTTATGTAGCTTAAATAGAGAAATCAATAATCTTTTTATTCCCCTGCGACAAAAAGTCGGGGGGCATATTAGTTTACCCCTGTCCGTTCGTCCGTCCAAATTAGGATACATTGTTTGTCCGGCTATCTCCTACAGTTTTAGAGGTACAACTTTAATATTTTGTAGAATGTTCATACACATAATAAAGGTGTGCATGGCCACAGGATTTTGATTTCTTTTAAATATTCTGAAAATGACAGGTAGTTGGACTTCGTCATATTTTTGGTACTAGCTGCATAAAGAGATCATGGTTTGTCTGGCTATCTCCTCCTACAGTTACATCATCATACATAGTGTTAAATTTATAATTTCCTATGGTCAGGCGGGGGCATTATTTGTGTCTTACAGACCGTAACAATTTCAAGTTGTATGCCATAGTTACTGTTTGTCAAATCTAAATTATGTGGAACTATACTCGTGCATATGGCAGAGCAGAAAAGGGGGGGGGGGAGCATTGCTCATATCTAGTTTTTCTTAATATTTTTATAACATTAAAACTCTTAAAAAAAAGATACCACACATGTGCCTGAATCAAAACAGTTTGAAATCATAATTAACCTAAGTTGAAGGTCATTAAAAACCACAAATATCAAACAAAAATTTACCAAATCTAGCAAAGGTCGTCTATTCATTGGGGAAGAAAAACAAGGTAACAGTTTCGAATGATTTTAACAATTAATGAACATTTACAGAACATTACTGTACCAATGATACAACAGGACAGAAGGACTCACTACTGGGCTGGTGATACGTACCTTGTAAAAATGCATCTACGATACCAGGCTTATTATTTGGTATACCATACATAAATGTTGTCTAGATAACGACTCACAAGTTTCACTCAAATCCAAATAGTATTTTTGGGAATTTGTTTCTAATTACATCATTTTTGTCGAGCCTGCAACTTCTATTGGAGAAAGCTCAACATAGGGGTAGTGATCCAGCAGCAGCTGCGTTAAACAACTATTTTAAAGCTTTATATTTCAGAAGGTAGAAGACATAGATGCCCCATACTTTGTATATAGATGCCTTATGTTATGAAGTTTCCGTCTGTCATATGTCCATAGTCCTTGACCTCATTTTCATGGTCTAGTGACTACTTCAAAAAAGAGTTAAGATTTTTTGTAATGTCAATTTCTCTTTTATTATGAGTAATAGGATAACTATATTTAGTATATGCGTACCTTGCAAGGTCCTCATGCCTGTCAGACAGTTTTCATCTGAACTCTACCTCATTTCATTGATCAGTGAACAAGGTCAAGTCCATACCTCTGATACTATGAGCAATAGGTCTACTATATTTGGTGTCTGGAATGATTTAAGGTGTAAATGTCCAACTGGCAGGTGGCATCTGACCTTGACCTCATTTTCATGGTTCAGTGGTTAAAGTTAAGTTTTTCATGTTTTGGTTTTTTTTTCTAATACTATATGCAATAAATCAACTATATTTGGTGTTTGGAAATATTTACGATGTACATGTCGGTTTGGCATGTTTTATTTGACCTTGACCTCATTTTCACGGTTCATTGCTAAGTGTAATTTTTTTATGTTTGATCTGTTTTTCTTAAACTATAAGCAATAGGTCAACTATATTTGGTGTATGGAATGTTTGTAAGGTGTATATGTCTGTCTGTTAGGTATCATTTGACCTTGACCTCATTTTCATGGTTCATTGGTCAATGTTAAGTTTTCATGGTTAAGTTTGTTTCTTAGATATTATAAACAATATATGTCAACTATATTTAATGCATAGATTGATTGTAAGGTGTACATGTCCAACTGGCATGGTTCACCTGACCTTAATTTCATTTTCATGGTTCATTGGTCAATGTTTACCAGGTTAAGATATTTGCTAAGAAACTGTAAGCAATAGGTCAACTATGTTTGGCGTATGGAATGATTGTAAGGAGTATTTCTGGTTTGGTTTATCTGACTTTGACCTCATTTTCTTGGATCATGTTAAGTTTATGTGATACTTGTATTAAAGCTGTGTATTTAGGACTATCAACGTAAAATCGATGGTCAGTAAAGCAGGCGAGACATTTTAGCATGTGCACTCTTGTTATATCTATTATTCATTCTGATATTTCAGATATTCCTTTGGAATACTTAGATTGTGTTCCGACAGATGAGATCTTGGATTCATTAGCACCACAAATTGGTCAGATATTTTTTCAACTTGGTGCTGAAATTGGGTTGTCAATTGCAAACCTAGAAAATATACAGAGCAATAATTCCCAAGACTTAGCAGCTCAGAATAAGGAAGTATTGTTTACATGGAGAGAAGACAGAACAGTGAAACCTACACTACGGGTACTTGTACAGGCTTTAGTAAACGTTGGTAGGGGTGCACATTGCTTACAGGAAGTTTTAAAGAATGTGGATCTTAATACCCTTAGAGGATCAGAAGAAATTAGAGGTGAAGGTGCAATTCCAAAGAAACCTAAGAACACATCAGAACAGAAGCCACATAGTCAGCAAAAGGGGTCAAAGAAATGTTCAATAGCTTGAAAGTAGGCTTCACACAATATATTTAGAGCAACATTCTAATTTGGAGGAAATGTAAACTTAAAGTCTTTAGTAAAACTAGAGGTGGGATTTAGCCTCATTGTTTCTAAGATGTATGATGCTAATACTTTTGAACTTCATTTGTTCTATATATCCTGCGCAGAGCAGGGGACATAGTTAAAGTCTTTGCAAGTCTGTCTGTCCTTCCAAAATAGCAATAATACTTAAAGCTTTCATACTTTATATCATTATTTTTAGCTCACCTGGCCCAGAGGCCCAAGTGAGCTTTTCTCATCACTTGGCGTCCGCCGTCGTCCATTAACTTTTACAAAAATCTTTTCCTCTGAAACTAATGGGCCAAAGTTAACCAAACTTCACCACAATTGTCATTGGGGTATCTAGTTTTAAAAAAGTGGCCGACGACCCGGCCCGCCAACCAAGATGGCCACCATGTCTAAAAATAGAACATAGAGGTAAAATGTAGATTTTGGCTTATATCTCTGAAACCAAAGCATTTAGAGCAAATCTTACAGGGGGTGAAATTGTTCATCAGGTCTAAGAAATTTTCAGACAAATCAGACAACCCGTTGTTGGGTTGCTGCCCCTGAATTGGTAATTTATGAAAATTTTGCAGTTTTTGGTTATTATCTTCAATATTATTATAGTTATAGATAAACTGTGAACAGCAATAATGTACAGCAAAGTAAGATCTTCCAATAAGTCAACATGACCATAATGGTCAATTGACCCCTTAAGGATTTATTGCCCTTTATAGTCAATTTTTAACAATTTTTCGTAAGTTTTTGTAATCTTTTACAAAAATCTTCTCTGAAACTACTGGGTCAAATAGAATCAAACTTGGCCACAATCATCATTGAGATCTCTAGTTTAAAAATGTTCATCAGATTAAGTTTTATCTGCCCTGATATTTTCAGACGAATCAGACAACCCATTGTTGGGTTACTGTTGCAGTTTTTATACGACCGCAAAAAAATTTTGAGGTCGTATATTGGTATGATGTTGGCGTCGTCGTCGTCCGAATACACAATGGTTTTCGCACTCTAACTTTAGTTTAAGTGAATGGATCTCTATGAAATTTAACCATAAGGTTCAATACCACAATAGGAAGGTGGGGATTGATTTTGGGGGTTATGGTACCAACAGTTAAGGAATTAGGGGCCAAAAAGGGGCCGAAAATAAGCATTTTTGTAACTTCCAGACATAACTTGTGTGTTAGCATATGGATCTCTTTGACATTGTACCACAAGATTCCATATCACAAAGGGTCAATGCTGGGATTGATTTTGGGGTTAATTGCCTCAAAATTTTAGGAATAAGGGGCCAAAAGGGGGCAAAAAACAAGCATTTTTCTAGTTTCATGACAATAACTTGTGTGTAAGTGTATGGATCTTTCTGAAATTTTACTACAAGGTTCCATTTCACAAATAGAAAGCTGGAATTGAGTGTTGTGGTAATTGCCCAAAACGTTTAGTAATAAGGGGCCTAAAAAGGGGTTTAAAATAAGCATTTTTTAGTTTCTAGACAATAACTTGTGTTCAAGTGTATGGATCTCTCTAAAATTGTATTACAAGGTACCATACCACAAAGGCAAGGCTGTTATTGAGCTTGGTTTGGGGGGAAAGGGGGGCGGGGGTCAAAAAAGGGGTATTTTTTTTTTTCCTTTTTTTTTTGTTTAAAATTTACATTTTAAGTTAGTTATTTTTTATCACGAAGAGAAAGTAGGAATTGAGTTTTGTGGTTAATTGCTCAAACATTTATGAATAAGGGGCCAAATATTGGTCGAAAATAAGGATTTTTTTAGTGTGCTCTAATGTTTAAGGAATAAGGGGAAAAAAGGTTAAAAAACAAGGGTTTCCATTTTAATAGACAAATAATTGAGTAAAGAACATTATTTAAAAGCAGTGTAAGGTTGGTAATTCAAACTCATTTAAATATCTCATCTACACTGCTTTTAAATTATGTAAATTGGAAATTTGCCAATAACTTTATTGTTAATAAATGCATTGGAAATTTGCCAACAATTTTAGTGTAATAAACTTCATTGGAAATTTGCCAATATAAAATTTTGCTGATGAAGGTTTTTTGTTTACCTTTAGCCTTGACTATGAAGTCATTTTCTATTTTTATAGCCGTATGATGTAGTTGAATTATTTAATACTTTTATGATGTGTTTAAATGGGGTTTTATCATGTTTATGGTTGCAAATTTATTGTTTTAGTATAATAAACTCCATTTAAAATTTGCCAATAAAAAAAATTTTTGTTTATTTTTAGCTATGATTTTGATGTCATTTTCTATTTTACTTTTATGGTTGCAAAGAAATTTTTATTTTTAGATATTACTGTTAAATGATGCTGATTAAGGTTTTTGCTATGTTTAGCCATGACTATGATGTCATTTTCTATTTTAATATCTGTTATGATGTATTTAAATGGGCTTTTATGGTTACAAAGGAATTTTATTTTTAGATATTACTATAAAATGTTGCTGATGCTGATTAAGGATTTTGTTTATTTTTAGCCATGACTATGATGTCATTTTCTATTTTAATACCTTTATGATGTAATTTCCATTTTTAGATATTACTGTTAAATGATGCTGATTAAGGGTTTTTTGCTATGTTTAGCCATGACTATGATGTCATTTTCTATTTTAATATCTTTATGATGTATTTAAATGGGCTTTTATGGTTACAAAGGAATTTTATTTTTAGATATTACTTTAAATGTTGCTGATTAAGGATTTTTGTTTATTTTTAGCCATGACTATGATGTCACTTTCTATTTTAATACCTTTATGATGTATTTAAATGGGCTCCCATGTATTTAGATTTTTGATTATTTATACATGTTACCAAATTGGTCCACATTGAACAAAAACGGTCCAAATTTCAACTTTATTACATTACATCAAACATTGAATTCTACATATTCTTTGATATATTGAAATTAACAAACAATTTAGTTTATGGAGATTCCACCATAATAGGTAAATTAAATTTTTTCCAGTTCTTACACCACATTCATCCTGTGTCAGAAACCTATGCTGTGTCAAATATTTAATGACAATCCAAAGTCATAGCTGTATCAAGCTTGAATTTTGTGTCCATACTTGCCCCAACTGTTCAGGGTTCGACCTCTGCGGTCGTATCAAGCTGCGCCCCAGCGAAGCATTTTATTGGAAATTATCTTGAATATTATTATAGATAGAGATAAACTGTAAACAACAATAATGTTCAGCAAAGTGAAATCTACAAATAAGTTAAAGTGACCAAAATTGTCAATGGACCCCTTAAGGAGTTATTGCCCTTTATAGTCAATTTTTAACAATTTTTCGTAAATTTTTGTAATCTTTTACAAAAATCTTCTCCTCTGAAACTACTGGGCCAAAAAAAATCAAACTTTGCCACAATCATCATTAGGGTATTTAGTTTTAAAAATGTGTCAGATAGCCCCGCCTGCCAACAAAGATGGCCGACATGGCAAAAAATAGAACATATGGGGTAAAATGCAAGTTTTGTCTATTCTTCTGATAACCGTTTTAAATAGAGAAAATCTGAAAAGGGTAAAATTGTTCAGAATGTTCAGCTCCACCAATTATCCAAATTTTACCACTTTTTTTGATTTTTGCCTATTATCTTATAAACTATCATAAATAGAGAGAAATTTTAAACTGCAAAAATGATCAGAAGGACAATTTCTACAAATAAGTCTTATGGTTGAAATCATCAGTTGACTCCTTATTAGAGTTATTGGCCTTTGATGCCGATTTGTACAATTTTTTTGGCGTTTTTGTCTTATATCTTAAAACTTATAATAGATACAAAGAAACTTAAACATAAAAAAATGATCAGCAAGACAAGATCTACAATTAAGACAAATGGCAGAAATTGTCCGAAGACTCCTTATTGGAGTTATTGCCCTTTTATTACGATTTTTACCTTTTTTTTTTGCGTTTTGCCTTCTATGATAAAAATTATAATAGATAAATAGAAACTTAAATAATCAAAAATGATAAGCAAGACAAGACCTACTAACAAGTCAAATTTTGCTGATATAATCAGTAGACTGTTACTCTTTATAGGATTTTTTTTACCCTCTTTTGTGTTTGGAGCAAAAGCTAAATAAGATATGATGATAGAGAGAAACTAAACAGACTTCAATGATCAGCAATATAAGATACAAAAAGAACAGAGATTTTTGTCATTCTATTCTCGTCTACAAGGTTTGAAAGTGTCCTTTGTTGAATGTGCATATATATATAAACCAAGGTGAGTGACACAGGCTCTTGAGAGCCTCTAGTTTTGTATTATTTTGACAATACTATAATGTTATTTTTATTTTTCAATTTGAATGACAGCTATGATACTTTGACAATTATTGTGGAGCCTCCAACATTTATGTCACGGAAGTGAGACATAGCAATACATTGCATTCAGCGTAGTCATCTGTGGGACAGTTTTGTTTTAGACTTCAAAAGCCTTCATTGAATTTAAGAAATTTGGACAGAAGCTTTTATAGGTTGCATTTCTGTAAATATCAACAATGCAATTTCCCATAGGAACTCCTTTCACGGCTAAAACTGTACCACTTTTACTATGATGTTTTGAAAAAAATTATATCCTAGAATGGAAAGTTCATATGCACTACTATTTTTTTCAAAGGTCAAAATATAGGGCTGTGCGGCATATTTTCAACGCTTATATGCCCCGAACTTCTGTGAGTTAAAACTTGTATTAAAATTTTATGGTGCCCCTACCTTGGTTTAAGGATTTCCACAGATTTTAACTTGATCACTATGAATATATATATATTTACTGGTAACATTCCCAAGTTATGTCTCTACGAGATGAAACATAGAGATCATATCCGGGAACCAGTACATTAACAAAATTAATTATCTATGAATATTATATATCTCCCCAAAAGAGGCGTGGTTTGAGAAACAGCTGTATTTACAAAGTGCAACCTATATGACCAAAGATAGTATGCAGAGCAAAATAGTGAAAATAGTTTTTGTCTCGCCTATAATGAAAGATAGGGATTACTTATAATCTGGCAGCGATGGTGTGAACTATGTGTATAAAGATACTATAAGCAATAAATCAACTATCTTTGGTATTCAAAGTTTTCGATCGTTGTACCTGTCTGAAATTTCACCAACATTACGGAAATACTTTTGAATACAGGAATGATTGAAAATAAAGATAACAAAAACTTGAAATTTAAATCGAGATTTTGTTTTACTTTATGTTCAGTCAGAAGTTATGTTGCTTAACTTTGATTTGTATATATGTAACACTCAGAAACGTGTCTATCCCCCACAACGTGTCTAATTCCCCAAACATGTCCATATGATGCAAATGAACTATTATAACATGTACAGTTGCTAAAAGGCTCAAAAACATGTTCTTTTTATGAACGCCCAACTATGTCCATTTAGAAAAAAGGCCCAAATGTGCTTAAAACGTTAAAAACCCAAGTCGGGTCCACCGCTATTGAATAGTGATTTGTAATTACATATGTTGTGTAATATCTAATCCAATCAAATTTATTATAGGAACCTTCCTTTTACTGTGTTGAAAAAATGAGACAGTTACTCTTCTTTTACCCAGAAATCATTTCTGCCAGGAGCTGGTCGTGTGATACCCTCATTTATTATTAATGTAGTTAGGCAAGAACTTAACTGTTCAAAACTAATGAATTGCAATGTTTGATTTTGCTATAAATATTCATGAAATATTTACCACTGGAAATTGAGAAATCAAAAGACAAGAGAATTAATGACTCATTTTTTATGTGTTGCAAATTAATCATTTAATTATGCTAAATATCAATAAGAAATGTGGAACAAACTAATGCTTATAAATGACCACTTGGTCACTATTCAAGCACTAAAACTTGCAAGATCAATTGTTTTTGGTTTTATAAATGTGAAGCACCTTTATTTAATATTTAAAACAATAATAATTATACTGATAAAAAAAAATGAAACCATTGCAAGTAAAAATATTTTTTTTATATATAGTTAGGTCCGAAGACTTAGAAAGTTCACGCAAATAATCAGTTTTCCAGACTTATTTTTTCGTCATGCTTAAAGATATTGATTTAATTTTATGCCTCCGCCATCGCTGAGGGGGCATTAAGTTTTACCCTTCTCCGTCTTTACATACGTACATACGTCCCAAAATTGGTTTCCGTTCTCTAATTTTAGTTTGCCTCAACCAAATGTTATGAAACATATACACAATGCTTATTACCACAAAACACAGATCAACTTTGAATTTTGGTGGCATCAATTTTACCGTTCTTGAGTTATGTTCCTTTACAAATGAAAAAAATGCTGAATTTTTTGTTTCCATTCTCTAACTTTAGTTTGTCTCCACCAAATGTTATGAAACATATACACAATGCTTATTACCACAAAATTCAGATCATGTTTGAAATTTGAAAGCGTCACTTGTACCGTTCTAGAGTTGTGCCCCTTTACAAATGGAAAAATTGCTGAATTTTTCGTTTCCGTTCTCTCACTTTAGTTTGCATCAACCAAATGTTATGAAACATATAGTTTACACAATGTTTATAACCACAAAATACAGATCAAGTTTAAATTTTGATGGCGTCACTTTTACCGTTCAAGATTTATGCCCCTTTACAAATGGAAAAATTGCTGAATTTTTTGTTTCCGTTCTCCTTCTTTAGTTTGCCTCAACCAAATTTTATGAAACTTATACACAATGCTTATTTCCACAAAACTCAGATCAAGTACAAATTTGGGTAGCGTCACTTTTACCCTTCTTTAGGTTGGTCCATTTGTATTGTTATATGCAAGCGGGGCATCATCTGTGTCCTATATACACATTCCCCATTTATTTTTATATAGTTTACACCATGACCAGTTAAAGATCAAGTTAGCATTTTGTTCCAGAACAATGAATTATTAACTAGTAGGGAACTATGTATTGCCATTAAATACTCTAAGAATGTTGCTCTGATCTTGTCTGTTCATTTGAAAGCAAAAGTAAGTGATTACATCTTTCACTTTGCATAGTGTTTCACGTCTTGGACATTTGACTACACTGATTGCTACACCTTTCCTCCAGATGTCATTGGATGGGGGCTTGGATCTTTATTTAGAAACCAACCGAAACCGAAAGTCTTCAATCGTGTCCCCCATCATTCAATTGCCGTAAACCTTTTCAAATTCACTGAGGACATATTAGCGCGAAGAGTTTTGCAATGTATTGGCAGTTTAAAGTAAACACATTTGAGCGAAGTGAATAATTTGACACGTTTGGGCGATTTGTGATTTTAAGGACACGTCTGAGAGAGAGACATATATTACAAGATAAGGGCCAATATATATAATTATGTTAATTGTTTTTAACCTGAAATAAAACTTTTACACTTAAACCTATATTTTTTTAAATCCCAGAAGATTACTGTCCCGTGTCACATCATCATGGTATTTTGAACCCCATGGAAAATCGACTCCTTTGCTTATTCATTCCATATATTTATTGGAATATCATACAATGTTATTAGTAGACAGCATTGCTATTTTAAATTTAAACCCTTACACCACATGGGGTCAATTTTACATAATAAAGGTCTGGATGTTATGTCTAAGAAAAAATGTTATAGAACCTTCTCAAACATATGTTTTTCTTTCCAGATACCTAGTAAAGCATTATAATTAGATCAAGTAGCTTATATTCTGTAATAAGTTGAAATTATAAAGAGGGGTTTATTTAAATATTAAAGAGAGTTCAAAATACCATAGTTAAAAAATTGATCTAAAATCTTTAAGCTCTTATTTTTAGTTCACCTGACCTCACTTGGTGTTCGTTGTTAGTTAACTCTTTATAAAGTTATTCTCCTTTAATGATGAATTTTACTAAAAAGTGGCCAATATCGAAGATGCAGGTGAGTAACACAGGCTCTTTAGAGACTGTTTTTTTTCAAGATACTGTTCATCACATTATTACTACTAGTAGTGAATGTTATGGTACTGCTATCATTCATTGAAATTGTGACCTATTGGGGGAGGGGGTTCAAAATGTCATGGCTAAGAAAACGTCTTTTTGCAGCATTATAACTAGTTCAAGTAATATATATGCTATTGTATATTAAAATCTAGACCCATTATGTGGTTCCAACATGTCAAATCCGACTTTTAGGAGGGTTGGTGGATGACCTTGTGTCCTAATGTCACATTTTAAAAGTACTAGGGACCTTCACAAATATTCAACACTGAGAATGAGATGAATTTAAAACTATATAATTTGCTTATAAGTGACCTGATGACCTGCTGCTATTTTTGGATGTGACAGTGTGACCTTAAGGGATACCTTACTGGAGACCTTATTTGTGGAGGAGTATCAATTTTCCATAGTAGAGAGGACAAACTATACTGACTAAGAAAAAGAGTGATGAATTGTTATCTAAATTATGTTTTTTATCTAAGTTACTAATAACGACATTATAAGCAGTTAATGTAGTGTATTAAATGCTATTAAAATAGAAATTCTGACTTAAAAGGGGAGGAGGGTTCTCTTTTGCATGGTAGGGGTGAAAATACCATGGCTAAGAAAAAGTATTATAAAATCTTTTGGAACATGAATTTTTCATTAAATATAACTATCATCATATATAGTAAAACTACTGTATAAAGTAATATTGCTTCAGTTAGTATTTGATATGTATAAGACATGTTGGAAAAGATGTTTTAAAATTTTTATTTATTAGCCATGGTATTTTGACAATCCTGCCATGGAAAATTCTACCCTCCTGTAGATTTCTAGAACTGCAGATTGAATATTTATTTTCATCTTTTGCTACGCATGCTCATTTTATTATTTTCCCCGCTGTATTGAAGCACAGATATTCCTTTTCACTTTTGTACACATTCGTATCCTGCATGTTTGTGATGTAGCAGTACATTTCCATCCTGTCTTGTGCAAAGTTAATTATTTTCAGTTCTTACAAGGTCAGTTTATTTGTTTTCAAAATCCTCATGCCAGAGAAGGACAAATTTCAATATAAATGTTGTCGTTATATGGAGAAAATTTCATGTATTGATTATCAGCAGTGAAATATTGTCTCGTTAAAGGGAGGTTACCCAAAGTTACATGTGTATAATGAGTCAATATTTCATTGATGAAAGGAGGTTATAAACATTAATAGTTTGAACAAAGTTGTCATTAGAATGTTTGATTTCATTGATAATAAAAAAACATAATTATATATTTAAAGAGATTGTCAGTATTTTACTTTATTGTACAGTATATTGTAATTAACATGTTTGACTCTGATTATTCATAAATGCTAATTTGAAATAAGCTAATGATGAAATAATAAAATGTTCGTCCGATATATAAAACACTTGTCTTTCTTCTTTTTTTTATAGATATAAATATGAAAATGTGCTTCATGCTTGTCTACTGCAGATGAGAATTATTTGGTAATAAATATAATTTTCAAGAACAATATTTTAAAGATTCTAGAAACATTCATAGCGAAGGAGTCCTTAGTAAGGCATACTGTGATTAGTAATATTTTCAGTGAAATTATGTCAGGGACAGTATTTCACAGTGAAATATTTTTCCAAAGAAGTTGACAAAATATCAAGCAGACAGGGACACTATTGCATAATGAAATAATTTTCTGGACAGTACTGTATTTCATTATAAATCATTGTCTGCGGACAATATTTTCTATAAAATTTTAACTGGTGTACAATATTTCATGAAGGACATTATTGTCTCGCCTTGACGAGTCAAAAATCGAGACTTAGGTATGTTGTTTTCGATGGTGTCGGTGCCATCAACAATTTATGAAAGTTTGTGATAAGGTCATTTTGATAGGTGCCATTCATTTATGATCAATTGATGATATTTGGTATGCAGCTGTATAAACATTGGATCATCTCATTCCCATAGAAATTGTTTTGCCCTGCCTTTTAGTCATGGTCTATTGACTCTGAAACTTTTGTAAAGTTTACATGTTAAAGTTTGTGATTAGGTCCATTTAAGGGAATCACTTATGATATTTGGTATGCAGTTGTATTGGCATTGGCACATCTCATTTCCATGGAGATTAATTGGCCCGCCTCCTCAGTCGTGGTTTAATGACTTTGAAACAATTTCATTGTAAAAATGTTAAAGTTTGTGATTATTTCAATTAAAGGGGAACGACTTATGATATTTTGTATGCAGTTCTATTAGCATTGACATATCGTTTTTCCACGGAAACGTGTGCTATGTACATTCAGTCATGTTTCATTAACTTTGAATATTTTCCATAATTTACATGTTATTTTGATTTCAACCTTTGCATTTTTACTATCAAACTAACATACAGGCGAGACAAATCCCTGTTGCAACAGTTAATTAACAGCCCCGTTTTTGTTTTAGATATCTACACAATTAATGAAGTTGTCTACTTCTGAATATTGAAGTGGAAATGGATATTTTAGTATATTTATGTCTATCCCCCTCCTCAGAATATTATAGTGTTTTTATGTTTGTCCCCCTCCTCAGAATATTTTAGTATATTTATGTTTTTCCCCCTCCTCACTCGGAATATTTTAGTATATTTATCACGGTTTGTCCCCCTCCTCGTACCCCTTTATATATTTATTAAAAGGTCCAAAATGTGCATTTTCTATGTTCGTGATGTTTTCAGTATGTGCACACTTTCAGTAACCAGAAAGATGAATTACTCAAAGACGAATTACCCACAGATGAAATAACATTACCAACACAAATACGAAATGTAGTAATTTGTGCTCGGGACGAGCACTTCGGGGAAGTAGTGGAGAATATAACAGGAAGAAAAGTGACGTTAGGAACTTTTACTATAATTCGCAAAGTGCTTTATATGAACTCTCGTTTTAGATTGAATATTTCTCGTTTTAGTTTTAAATTGAATATTTCTTGTTTTAAATGTTTTTTTATTTTTAAATATAATGTTTCTTTATTTCAAATACCCAAATGGATTATAGATTTCAGTAATTTACAACTTAATCCGATGGCAGTTAAAAGTGCGAAAGATAATACATGTATCTTACAGTCAACTACAAAAGCAGCAACCATCGCTATTTTACTAAGTTTAGCCGTAGGACAATAATCCGATTATTATTACATAAGATTTGACAATAATAGTTATATTTTATGAGAACCTATTATGATGTTTTAAGATCCTTAACTTTGAATTAAATGTATGTTTTGTAAACTGTTGCTGGGGCAGTCTTCCCCTAGCTCTAAAGCTGTACACTTGTGAATAGATTTGTATATATTGTATACGGTCTTGCGTTTAAAGCAGCCGCAGTGTCAAATATAGACCAACAGACTTTAATGTAACCCATACCGAAATTCACGGGGTTATACATTCTTCAAAAATTATAATAAATGCACGCAATAATTTCTGAATTAACATAACTTGCTAGGACAATTTCAGATGATTGTTATCATTGTTGAACAAATTCATAAATCTGTGGTTTTGGGTAAAGATTGCATGAAATGCAAACAAAACCCTATGGTACTGTCTTCCAAGGTTTATTCCTTCTTTTGAGATACACAAAATATAGTGCATTGATCATAACATTCTAAACATCCTATCCATGAACATTTCCATAAATTTATCAATGAAATATATGTTAAAATATTAAAGTTACAAAATGGTGTTATACTTGTCAAGAAAATTACATAACTTGTGCAAGGTGCAGTAATCTAATATCTGATCTAAAATATCAATGATGTCATTGTTAAAGTAATCTGTAAAATTGGAGTTATCTTCCTTTGTCAATATTTTTTTTTACAATGCAATGTTTAATTTAACTTCCAACTGAAAAATTTAAAAAAAAATTACCCTGTAGTGCTTACAAGCACTTTAATATTATGCTGATTATGAGGGAAAAAAAACAATGCTTGCTGCAACAATTTCAGATGACATTTTTCATTATTAACCATTTTTTTTGTCTTTTTCAATGCTTTGACATAAGGCCTGTTCCAGAAAATAATATGCCCCCCTCCAGTGACTGCACTTTTTTTGAACCCCCACCACCCACAGAAATAAAAATAAATTAGAACAACACTCCCTTTGCATTTTGGTATTTCAAATACAACCACCCACATAATATTAGAAAAAAATTGCCTTCCCTGGGGGGGTGGGCATAGTATTTTCTGGAACAGCCCTAAGCACATGTCAAAAAATGTTGGTCATAGAACATATTCAATATATAAATGTATAGTTTTGTATAAATATTTTATTTTTGTAAATATTGATGTATTTATTTCTAGTCTAAGTGCTTAATTTGATTATGTGCAATTTTGAAAACAAAAATATGTCTATCCAAGATGTTAGTTAATCATTTTTGTTTCAGAAGTCAAACTAGGTAAAATACTAAAAACATATGCATAATTTGATACTGTTCCCAGATACTCAATCTGGCTATCTGTTAAACAAATTTCATGTAAGAGATGCATTCATGTGACAAGTATATCTACTAAAAGTTTAATAAATGCACAAGGGCAATGCCAGTTTTGAAAAGCAGTATGCATATAAGATATCTTAAACAATTGGATTAAAGAAACTAAATAGACTTAATGTCGTTTGATGATCTTATGATTTATTTCAGTAAAACAAGGTTTGAAATTCGCCTTCACATTAAATGCACATTACTTTATGGTTGTAATCAAGATCTCTTTTAATTCTACAAATTTATGTTTCCATGTGCTGTGGGGAACGGGGACATTCATTTTATTTTATACCGGGGTAATTCATTTTTGAGATGCTGTCTCTTTAACTTAAACCCCACATATTCTTACTGTACATGAATATTTCAAGCTTTAAACATTATGGACCCATTCACATCTTTAAACCACTCACCCTGTTTTTTTACTTTGGTTATGAAGTACAACTTTTAAATCAGAATTCAAAAGAATATAATTGATTCAATACTTTTGTTTTAAAGAGGTAAGACCCATTTCTTCATAATTTATTTCACACCAAGGCCATTTTCTAAAAGTCCAATCTTATCAAATTCAAAGTTTAAGAATAAGAATTGGAGTTCTTATTTTTGTGATACTCAGTCAACCAGTCGCATTATTCCCATTAATAAAAACCTTGCAATAATTTCAGAATTAAAATATTTAAAACGACTAGAAATTAAAATTTCTGTGCGCTGGGAAGAGATTATTTAAAGAATTAGATAATGCATTATGTTTGACAGTTGTGATTCATGATAAAGTGTGCCTTCATCTTTCTTATGAAGTTACATTCAAAAGAATGAAAAGTTCAAGATGGGCATGGTCTTAGGCCAAACAATTTAGATTGTTTGATGTTGCCTACCTACCCACCTAGCAGCCTGGTGTTCCACAGGGTTCGGTACTGGGTCCTCTTTTATTTCTAATATTCATTAATGACATTGCAGATGATATGATTGGTTTAAGTAGAATGTTTGCAGATGATACATCTATTGGACATACTGCTCCAGATGAAACTACTCTTCAATCTATGATAAATATCGATCTACAAAATATTAATTCCTGGGCAAATGATTGGCTAGTTAAATTCAATCCCAATAAAACTAATATCATGTTGTTTAGTAACAAAAATTCTAAAAATAACTTGATTTTTGATTTTGGCGGAGTTCAGGTAGATACAGTTACTAGTCACAAACATTTAGGTATATTTTTTAGCAGTGATTGTAAGTGGACCAAGCATATTGATTCTTTAACAGAAAAGGTATCAAAAAAATTAAATGTTCTTAGACGTTTGAAATTCCGACTAAAAATGGAATATTTAGAAAAAATATATTTAACTTTTATTAGGCCCGTTCTAGAATATTCTTCTGAAGATTGGTATACTTGCGGACAGTTGAATTCTGAAAGATTAGAAACATTACAACTGGAAGCAGCACGTATTGTCACTGGTTTAACAAGCTATGTTAGCACTCAATCACTTTATTTAGAGACGGGATGGGAAAAGTTAAAGATTAGACGGGAAGTTAAGAAATTAACTTTATTTTACAAAATTATGAAAGAGGACACTCTTTTATACTTATTATATTTAATACCCCCTACAGTTGCAGAAACAAACAATTACAATCTACGAAACAGTCAAAATATATACCAAACCTCTAGCAGACTGTCCCTTTATCAAGAATCATTTACTAAGTATTCCATCTAGTATTAAACTGTGGAATTCGCTCGATTTAAGTATTAGAAATGAACAGTCTTTAAATATGTTTAAATTAAAAATTAAACAGAAATATTATAAAAACAAATCACCCCCTACATATTTCACTATTGGCGATAGATATTTAAATGTTTTGCACGCAAGATTAAGAAACAAATGCAGTGCCCTTAACATGGATCTGTATCACGCAAATATTAAACCTAACGCAATGTGTCAATGTGGTTATTTATATGAAAATGCTCAACATTATTTCCTTTCATGTAAAAATTATACAGCTCAAAGGAATATCTTATTTTTTGAACTTAGAAAAGAAAATATACCTACTGACTTGGAAACTTTAATGTACGGTAATGATATGTTTAATATGAACATAAATACGCTAATTTTTACAAAAGTGCAGAATTATATCAAAGAGACCAATCGCATTTCATAGTGTATAGACATTATGGTTAAATATATAACAATAATAATGTAATTACTTTTTGTTGACTTCGAATGAAATTGTTCATTTTTTCCAAAGACATGAATCATCAATTTGATTTTATATATAAAATCCCATCAGTTGACAACAAAATTTAATTTAATTGCTTTAAAATAATAACTTACCTTTTGAGTGAATATTCATTCCAAATTTAAAACAACCTACTAGGTCTACCTTAAATAAATTTAAGGTCAACTCAACTTTTAAAAATTGATGAGCCATGTCGTTTAAATTCTTGTTAATTTCATGTCTCCATATTAATATTGTTTATGATGTTATTATTATGTATTTTATTTTGTTCGGTTATTTATTATTTGTATGTAATGGAGAAGACGTTCTAAGTTGCAAAATTTGTGTCTAATCCTATTGTCAATGTTTTTGGACAATAAAATATGTTTAAACTAGCAGCCTACCTGCAAAATTATATGACACAAATCGGTTAAAAAAAATTTCAAAGATTTTTTTCCTGCTCTTACGTTGTTTTCTTGTCTGTAACTTATGTTGTTGACTCAAAGAAAACTAAATCCCTACCTACCTACCCAAGCATGGGAAGGTAACATCAAAAAAAAATTTAAGGGTGGCCTTACGAATACATTGTTTCACATTTTTACCACAAATAAATGTAAGTTTGTTCAGTTTTTATACGCCCGTCAAAATTTTGACGGGACGTATTATGGTATACAAATGTCGTCTGTCCGTCTATCCGTCTGTCCGTCTGTCTGTCCGGCGTAAAAATGTCGCACCGTAACTTGAGAACGACTTATCCAAATTTCAAAAAACTTAACATAGTTGTTTCTTATGATGATCAAACGATCTGTATACTTTTTCGTGAAAATAACATTAAAACTTTTTGAGTTACAAGACTTAGTAACTAAAACAGGTGTGTGTTTTTTTTCACATGTCACGCCGTATCTCAAAAACAATTTATGATTATTGCTTAAAACTTTACACACTTCTTAGTTATACTAATCTTAAGATCTGTATACTTTTTGGTGATGATTCAAAATTTTATTTTTGAGTTATTGAGTATTTTGTAAAAAAAGGGGGAGGGGTTTTTTACATGTCGCGCCGTATCTCAAAAACGATTTATGATTATTGCTTAAAATTTTACACACTTCTTAGTTATATTAATCTAAAGATCTGTATACTTTTTGGTTTTGATTCAAAATTTTATTTTAGAGGTATTGATTTTTTTTTAAAAGGGGGTTTTCACATGTCGCGCCGTATCTCAAAAACGATTTATGATTATTGCTTAAAATTTTACACACTTCTTAGTTATATTAATCTAAAGATCTGTATACTTTTTGGTTTTGATTCAAAATTTTATTTTAGAGATATTGAGTTTTTTGTAAAAAAAAAAGGGGGGTTTTCACATGTCGCGCCGTATGTCAGAAACTATTTTTGATTATTGCATAAAAATTCACACACAAGACGACGGGCGTATCATGCGCTCATGGGGCAGCTGTTTATTCAGAATACAATACTGTAAACGCAGAAATTATTGCATGTGTTTATTATTGTGATTTTTGAAGAAAGGACAAAAATGTGAGATTAATCATTGCGATTGCAGGAAAATTTGCTTACAAATATATATATCTGATATCAGAATGTAAGTTCTTTTTTTGGATACTCATCCAGGTGCATTATTTGCAATAATTTCTGAATTTTACAGTATTATACAATTTACAAATATTTATATTGATTAATTAACGCCACAACAAATATTTATAGGACATTATTTTGATATAGCCATCCATTATGGTATCATAGTGTAAACAGATATACCTTGTTGTTCAACTTCTAAAATTGAGAATGGAAATAGGGAATGTGTCAAAGAGACAACAACCCGACCATAGAGCAGACAACAGCCGAAGGCCACCAATGGGTCTTCAATGCAGCGAGAAACTCCCGCACCCGGAGGCGTCCTTCAGCTGGCCCCTAAACAAATATGTATACTATTTCAGTGATAATGTACGCATAGTTCAGTAGGGTATAATGTTTTTAACCTGTCTGTCTGTCTGTCTGTCCATCCATCAGTCCTGTTCTTGTCATCACAACTCCACTGAAACTGCACAAGAGAATTTCATGAAACTTGGAAGATAATAAGGACATACTATGTAGATGTTCATATCACCAGGAAATTATGATTCAACTTTTTTCTAGGAGTTATGCCCTTTTGAACTAAATATTCTAATGCAACAAATTGTCATCGCAACTCCTCTAAACCATGGAACAGAATTTCATGAAACTTTGTAGATGATAAGAACATTATACTATGTAGATGTGCATATTGACAGGAAATTATGATTTTTTTTTTCTAGTAGTTGCGCCCTTTTGAACATAGAATTTTGGCTTAAATATACTATATGATACTGCAACTCATTTAAAACTACGCAACAGAATTTCATGAAACTTTGTAGATGATAAGGACATGCTATTTAGATGTGCATATCTACAAGAAATTTTTATCGGCTGACTATTGTAGGAGTTATGAGATTTTAAACATAGGAATCTGGTGAGATTTTCTTTTGTTTGCTCAGTAACAATTTGGGGTATGTGAGGGTGCTCATAAAGGTTCTTTAATTCATTTAGTGTTCTAAAAGGACAGAAAAGATTGATAAAATAAGTTCAAGCATACATTTATAATTGATCATAATTGCAATCCAACGATTTACCATATTTAAACATTTTCCATAAAAAATATGACATCAGATACATTGGTTTCATATAAAGGCAAATTTTATCAAAATGAAACAACTTTTACTCTGCATCCTTGGTGGTCTGTCTGGTTCAAGCTGAACTGTATTTTGTAGTTTAAAATATTTCCTTTATTCAAAATAAACTATTCTTAGATAGATTGGTTGGTTTATAACGCTACTTTCAGCTCTATTGTGCTATTTCGAGGCAGTAAGTTTTTATTGGTGGAGGAAGCCAGAGTTCTCAGAGAGAACCACTGACCTCTGGTAAGAAAACTGACAAGATTGGAGTCACACGCACCTGTCATGTGCCCCATTCGAACTCACAAGCTCGATGTTGAAAGGCTTGTAATACAGTTGTTCGACTACTTCGACCACCCAAGCCCCCCCCCCCCCCCCCCCCCCCCCCCAAGTGGCGTATCCAGGGGGGGGGGGTCCGGGGGTTGGAACCCCCTTTTTTTTGAACGATCAATGCATTTGAATGGAGACATATGGTTGGACCCCCCCTTTTTCTCCTGTATTGGGACCCCCATTTTAAAAATGGCTAGATCAGCCCCCTGCCCCCCCCCCCCCCCGCCCAACAATTCTTAGAAGGCATGTATAAAAATCATTTGACATTTGAAGAACTGTCAAAACAGGGGTAATGCCATAATTTTGGACACACATTACACTTAATCCTCATATAAAGGTTGAAATCGGTGACATCCCGTTAGTCCGACAACCATTATTCCGACATCCAATTATTCCGACAGCCCACTACTCCGACATCCCATTATTCCGACAACCCATTATTCCGACAGGCCCCATTAATCCGACAATTCATCTGTCATAAGTGTATGGATAAATTTTCTCCATAAAGACCAACACCGTTCTCGATAATATTTGTGGTTATCCGTTTAGATTCCGATTATTCTTCTCATGCGGGATATTTGTCTCAGTGCCCTCTGTGCTTTTTGTCTCGCCATGACGGAGTCAAAAAGCGAGACATAGGTGTCAACAATGTATTAGTTTGTGATTAGGTCTAGTTCATGGTGAACCACTAGTGGTAGGTCAATGATATTTGGTATGCAGTTGTATTAGCATTGGCACATCTCATTACCATGGAGATTATTTGGCCCCGCCCCCTCAGTCAAGGTCTATTGACTTTGAAACTTTTCATAGTTTACATGTATTAGTTTGTGATTAGGTCAATTTATGGGGAACCACTAGTGGTAGGTCAATGATATTTGGTATGCAGTTGTATAAGCATTGGCATATATCTCATTTCCATGGGGAACCACTAGTGGTAGGTCAATGATATTTGGTATGCAGTTGTATAAGCATTGGCATATCTCATTTCCATGGAGATTATTTGGCTCCGCCCCTTTAGTCATGGTCTGTAGACTTTCAAAATTTTGCTAAGTTGACATGTTTTAGTTTGTGATTAGGTCAGTTCAAGGGGAACCATTAGTGGTAGGCCAATGTTAATTGGTGTTCAGTTGTATAAGCATTAGCACATCTCATTTCCATGGAGAATATTTGGCCACGCCCCCTCAATCATGGTCTATTTACTTTGAAACTTTTGCTTAGTTTACATGTATTAGTTTGTGATTAGATCAGTTTAAGATGGACTGCTAATGTTAAGTCAATGATATTTGGTATGCAAATTTATTGGCATTTGCAAGTATCGTTTCCATGGAGATTATATAGCTCCACCCCTGATCATGGTTCATTGACTTTGAAACTTTTACATAGTTTACAAGTTAATGTTTGTGTTTAGGTTTGTTTAAAGGGAACGACTTATAATAAGTCAATGGTATTTGGTATGCAGTTGTATTAGCATTGGCACATCTCATTTCCAAGGAGGTTTTTTAGCCATGTACCTTCTGTCATGGTTCATCGACTTTGAATATTTGCATAACTTACATGTTAAAGTATTGCTATTTTAATTTCAACATTTGCATTATCAAAATTACAAAAAGGCGAGACATATCTCTGTGATAACAGTTTATTTAGTCCCCGGTTTTGTTTTATGTCTTGATTTTTCTTCTATTCAGTAGATCTTCGGTTTTCTCCATTTCGTATCAAGGGTTGGATTAGCCTGTCCGCCCTCTTTGGTCGTAACACTTCAATTCCCGTGTATGTCCAACTAATTTTTATTTAATTATTTCACGGAAAATGGCGAGTCAGTCAAAAATGAGGAAAATAAAGAGACAAATACAAACCTAGGGCCTAGAAAATAAGATGACATATAGGAAGAATTTGGTGCTCCGAAAAGATGAACAACTCCAACTTGTACCAAGACCACCATCGTGCGATTTGATGAATGTCATGTTCGTGAATATGAATCCACAAAATGCGGAGACAGTACCTGGCACTTCCCATAACGCTCGATCAGAAATAGAGATGACACTTAATATATAAGTATGGAAACCGAATTTATATCCCGAGTTTATTTTAAAATTTATTGAAAAACATGCTACTTTTAAAATGCAGTTAAGGGGGAGTCGGGATGGGTGAATTATAACAAAAATATTTACGAAAAACAAACATGACAAACATGAACCAACAATAACCACTGAACCACCGGCTACTGACTTGGACTACCGTATAAAGAATGTGGCGGGGTTAAACATTGAAGGCGCCAACCCTCTCCAAACCTTGGACAGTGGTGTAATGGTACAACACAAGAACACTATATTAAAATTAGTTGAAAAGGGCTCAACTCGTAAGATGGATACAAAGCAGAAAAACATCAAACAGAAGTACGAAATGGACGTGGCAGGGTACAGATACTACTCTTAAATGCCAAGTTCATTATGAATAAAGATAATTGTAAACAGCAAGAATGTTCTGTAAAGTAATTTCTACAAACAAATCATCATCACCAAAACATAGAATTTTGTCATGAGTTTTAATGTGTGCCCTCGACCAAGGTGGGCGACACAGGCTCTTTAGAGCTTCTAGTTTTTATACGACCGCGAACATTTTTTTTTGCGTCGTATATTGGTATGATGTGGTCGTCATCGTCATCGTCGTCAGCGTCGTCCGAAGACTCATTTGGTTTCCAGACAATAACTTTGGTTTAAGGGAATGGATCTCTATGAAATTTTACCGGAAGATTTAATACTACAAAAGGAATGTTGTGATTGATTTTGGGGTTATGGTACCAACAGTTTAGAAATTAAGGGCCAAAAACAAGCATTTTTGTTGTTTCCAGACAATAATTTGTGTGTAATTGTATCGATCTTTCTGAAATTGTACCACAAGGTTCCATATCTCGAAAGGAAGGCTGGGATTGAGTTTGGGGGTAACTGACTTACACGTTCAGGAATTAGGGGCCAAGCATTTTTCTAGTTTCCAGAAAATAACTCGAGTTTAAGTGTATAAATCTCTCTGAAATTGTAATGCAAAGTACCATACCACAAATGGAAGGCTGGGATTGATTAAGGGGGTAATTGCTCCAAACGTTCAGGATTTAGGGGCCAAAAAGTGGTCAAAAACAAGCATTTTTCTAGTTTCCAGACAATAACTTGTGTATAAGTGTATGGATCTCTCTGAAAATGTACTGCAAGGTACCATACCACAAAGGGAAAGCTGGGATTGAGTTGGGGGGTAATTACTAAAAGGGTGGTTAAAAAAAAACTTGGGGGTGGAGGGGGGGGGGGGATTTTTTTTATATAATTTTTTTGTTTTTTTTTCTTAAAATTTTCCATTTTTGCATTGATTATTTCTGATTTATATATAAAAGTAAAAAATACTGATATGGCAGGAGATACACACCAAACAAGACGTGTAAATTATTATATGAAGTATTGTGCAATAGCACAGTATTGCGCAATAGCAGGAAATCTTCAATTGCATAGTATTGCGCAATAGCACAATATTGCACAATAGCAAAAAATCTTCAATTGCACAGTATTGTGCAATAGCAAGAAATCTTCAATTGCACAGTATTGCACAATAGCAAGAAATCTTCAATTGCACAGTATTGCGCAATAGCAAGAAGTCATTAAT